ACACACAACACGGCTACATCACAGGAAATAAAAACAAAAAAAAAAAAAAACCTGACGGTTCGAGAATAGATGTGGTAGAAAAAAAAAAATACGTTGTCTATTCCTCGATAACAAAGTTTCTGCTGTAGCCAGCCGAATTAAGCTCGCATGAGCACGCGGGAGACCGTTGTCGATCAAGCTACTCCCCCGGGGTTTTGAAAGTTCGAGGGCCGGGGCTTTTTTTTTTTCCGACAAAAAACTCCACCAACGGCAAGACGCTAGTGTGTTTGTTGAGCGGAGGATATCCTCGTGAGGTTGATTTTCCTCTCCGCGTCGTCGAGCAAACGGCTGTCATTGTTTGGTCGCTCAAGTAACGTCCCCAAAAAGTGAATTCTCTTTTGCAACCGTTGGCCGACCTGCGTTAGCTCGAGCTCGCTGCGGGGATGTGGATTGTGCGAACATAACGGCTGAACAAAAAAATAACAAAAAAAACGGTTATTTTATTTTTTTAAAATTTAAAAAATTAAAAATGAAAACTTAAAAAAACAGCGTATTGTTGTTTTGCTTCCTTAATAATTTTTTTTTATTGGTGCTATCCACGGTCGTCTTGCCCGAGTGTAGGTTTTTTTTTTTATTTTTTTTTAATTTTTTTTTATTTTTTTTAAGCAGCTAACCGAGTAACGTTATCAAGGAAGTCGCCCGTTTTAATCAGTTGTGGCTGTATTAGCAGATGCGAGGTGGACTATTTTCCCACTGCTAGAAAAGGTGGTGGTTGAAAGGGAGAAAGCGAGAGAGAAAAGGAGAGAGGGGGGGAGACTTGTGTTATTCTCAATGCTGCGTGTGCGTGACTAGTATTTTTTGCACTATTTCCGTAACTCACCACAAACTGACCGGGCAGGAATCGTTTACCGGGGGAGGTTTAAATGACTGAAGCTGTGTGTTTAGCGGCAAATTGTCTGGGGCGCGGATGACATTGTATCCTCCGCGACCAAAAAGAGCCCCAGCGCAAACGAGGGCTGCGACCTTGGCTTCGCGTTACAACAACAATAACGCAAATATATAAAACGTTAATAACGCCGTAGGTATTTTAAACGAGTCTTGACCTTGTTTTCTTTGTCAGGAGCTAACCTCACTCCGCGACAAATGCCACACCAGTCGACACGGAGAACATTATGCGAAGAAAAGAAAGTGACTTTTTTTATTTAAACAGGGCCGCACAGCCGAGTCTCACTTTGTGTAACTTACAGCTGTTATTGCGACACAGCTTTTTTTGTTTTGGGTTTTATTTTATCATTTTAATGTGACATCTCTGCAGAAGGGTCTGCCCCACAAGCTGTGTTATTATCGGGCTGTTTTTTGTATTTTAATTTCGCTGTCGGGTGGACTCTCCGCAGAGAGAGACAGGCGCACCGAGACAAGGGAGAGAAGCGAAAACGAAAATGAAATATCGGGGTAGTTTTTCCTCTAAAACACCAGAGATTGGTGTCGGAGGGACACTGGCTCTGGCAGGTGAATTGCGGCCACCGTTTCCCGCATTTTCCAGTGTTTGTGAGCTGAAGTGTTCTCCTTTTTTTTAATTTATTTATTTATTTTTTTTAGCCGACTGTCAGCTACAGAAATGGCGTCATCCTCTGCTGTAGTGTTGGTATAGTCAGTGCAGTGCAGACACACAGCCACGCTGCACCGTGCTGCTTTCACCGTATCTATCACCCTTTAAAAGACCATTTAAACGTGCATTTGTGCAGACAGGAGGAAGAGGAGGAGGAGGAGGAGGTCGCCTCTCCAGCACCAGACTAGTTACTTTGTGTTTGCTCGCCCTTCATAGCCACAAGCCAAGTCTGGGCTGCTGACTGACTAAACACAGCACACTGGGCATTACATAAACGGCTATAAGGGCTCTGCCAGTGAGAGTGATCCGCCTGCCACGGTTTTACTCATTTCCTTGGTGTAAAAAGCCCCGAGATGCACACACACCGTTCAGCATTAGGTGGGATTCATTTAAGCGAGTGCACCTTTTAGTTAAACTTTCTGCCCCCCACCCTCCTGAACCCGACAGTATCATGTGCAGATGTGTTTTTTTCTTCCGCCCAGCAGTAAAAGCAGAATAAGTGATGTCATCATAACACCTCTCGTTGTGTCAGGGCGAAGTTGTCTCTGATGCCTAACAGCGTCTCCGTCCTCTGTTTTCAGCCTCGGATTCGTCGCACTGGTCGCCCAGAGGACTCGTAGAGAGATGAAGGTAACGTTCATTCATTTTTCTCGCTTGTGTTTTAATGCCACGGAGGGGGGGGAACTCAATCAGATCACTGCTGCTTCTGCATCAACAGTCCCTGGCTCCATTTAATTTAAGTCCTGTGTAAACACGCCTCGACCGGGCACATCAAACATAAAACCTTGCATGTAATATCAGTATTTTAAATGCACCGCCTCCTCCTTTTTGTTCTCATGAACACAGCGGGGGTGAACTTTTACTAAATGTCAATTTTGGTCTCGTTCAAACACAGTAAGGCCAAGTGTCTCGGACATGAGCCAGAGTATTTATTTGATGAGCGTGATATTGAGTTTCCAGTGGCTTCAGCTGCATTTGCAAACACAAATTGGGATCTGTTATTTAGATGTTATCGAGTTACGCGCTGAGATAGAGCCTGGACGTGTAGCGATGTATGTAACGCTCAACGCTGAAACTATCGGTGCATAATGAGCGGAGAAAACATTTTTAAAAAGCTCGGTTCAGTCTCAGTCACAGCTGTCGTTGTTTGATGTTTTCAGTGGATCTGATTTGTGGCTGTTGTGTCTGAGCCATCACAACCCGCAGAGGTGTTCCCCCTTTAAATGAATCGGTAGGACAAGAGCCTGTACGTTCACTTACGTCTCATGTGGTAATATGTAGGGCAAAGAATGAAGAAAGTAGAAGGTGTGAGCACTTTGATTGGCTTTGCAACTGGAGAGTTAGTGGTGGGCAATTTAAATCTGCTCTAGTAATGAATTATAGTCACTTTGAACCTCACGTACCAGCGTCCTCTGAAGACCTGTCAGCAGTCTGTCAGAGTATTAAAGCATCAGGTTATAGGATAATAGTTAGCAGCACAGTGATTTCGTCCGGTACAAAGGTTTACGTGTTTCGTGTTGTTCTCGTCTCTGCTGCCTGCGTTCAGACTCGTCCCACCAGTAACGCTGACTTGAACTGCTTCATGATTTGTGGTTATGTAATGAATTGTTTGTGTCGGAGGAAGACAATGGATCGACTACAAACTCACTCCAGTGAACTCGGCACAGAAGATACAGAAACAAAAACTCCTCAACCTAACTTAATATCCTACAAGTGTCTCTTTGAGTAAAGCTTAATAAGTGAGCGTTCATTTAACTGCGAGGTGATTATTAAGCTTGCACTCTGCTGACCGGACCGACGTTTCCACGTTGACGTCGTAGCGTTGGTTGTTTTCCCGGCGCTCCGAGTCGTCTGGCTCTGCTGCTGCTTGAGGAGCGCTCACTCGTTTTACGGCTCTCTGTAGTAGCAGCATCTGCTCGATGCCTAAACTGTAAATTGCTCCGTAACTAGGACAACTTTTCATTACGCTCGCTGTGCAGCCTCTCTTCAGCAGCTGCAGACGCTGCTGTAACGCTGTGTTCTGGATGAAAGCCCTTCAACGTTAGACACCCAACGAGAGGACTAATGTGAAAGGCAATTGTTTGAATTCTTAATTTATTTCATCTTTAAAAAATCTTGTAAATTCTTTAAACTGGAATTAAAAAAAGTCCTTGCTCAAGCAAAAGTATTCTGGTAAGTTGTACTCAGCTATTACACTTTAATAATAAATATAAATAATAACATGTTAAATATTTAACTTCAGGTTTGAGCACTGTCTCATAATGGTCCCGGTATCGATACACTCATTAATAACTTAACGGTGTAGTCTACATGCTTGTTCACCTTTTACACTACAACACCCAGAACTCTCACTCACTTTATGTAGTTTAGTTCACTTGTCTCGAGGCGTTTCTTCTCAGCCTGTCGTTTCATTTTTTCTGAGGCTCAGAACGAAAAATAACTCGTCTTGAACTCGAGGTGTTTTACAAACTGAAGGCGTTTAGGAGGCCGGGTGGGTCTAATGAAACGTGCTGCTGATGCATTATGGGAAATGTAGGATTGAACCTGTGTGAGCGAGCGAAACCTTAACATCTCACCGTCCTGCGACTGTCAGTCCAAAGTTGTTCTGTTGTGTGAAAACAGTAGCCGCTGAGACGGATCGGAGCCGTGGGAGTGAAAAGTCGAGTTGTTCCTGCAGGTAGATGAGACGGGATGCTGCGGTGGGAACAGCCCCGCAGGTGCAGCAGGTGCAGTCGAAGGCGTCCCTGCTGAAACACCCACCGAGGCCTCGTCGCAAATACGAGACTGCTACGACTCATTCAGATGGTTTATGCAAAAATGGGCTGTTTGCATATTGAATTTGAGACACTTTAGAGTTCACGTGTTTGGTAAGCGGTCAGGACATTGTGTTGCTTTAAGATTATATTCATCAAAAGCTGTTTTTTTTTAATGTTTAAAGTTTATTTAGTGTGAGTGTGAAGCTGCAGGCGGAGTAGACTTGTAGGACTGCTCATAATTGTGTGGAATAAGTCCGTAAACGGATATTAAGGTTGTTATTTTTTTCTAGTTTAGGGCTGCCATGGCATTGCCAAGGCAACTCCTGCTGAAGCACCCGTCACTGGAGTTGTGGTGACTGTGGTTTGGACAAAGAGGTGATTCACAGCGGGATTATTGTACGTGTGAGCGCGGCCGAGACTGAGCTTAATTCTGTCCTGCGTGCCTCTTGCATGTTCCTTTGTTTGGCCCACAAGCCGATTCATTACAGCACAATATAACGGCTCAAAAACAATTTATAATATTACAGTAACGCCGCTTAGTGTCTGAATG